TTTGCCAACCATTTGCCGGTTTTGTTGGCATTTTGGAAGAATCTAGCCCTTGTGAACTTCATTTGTTTCTCTAAGTTTTCGTTTTGTAACATTTGCAACTGTTTCCGTAAAGCATTAATGATAATCAATCGTTTTTTGTCATTGGGTTTTTGTTTAAATAGGTTTTCATTTTCGTTGAGTTTTTCTGTAATTTCTTTTAATTCTTTGTTTCTCTTTTTCCTCTTTATTGTTTCTTGCTGTATGAGGTAACCCCTCATTACKGCCTTCATTGCTTCCCATTGTATATTTTTGGGAGTCTCCTCCCCTTTATTTAGCTCTAAGTATTCTTTTAATAGTTTCCTATTCTTTTCCACATCAGTTTCTCTTTTCAATAGGTGGTCCTTCAACCTCCATCTATAAACAAATTCCTTTCCTTTAATTATGAACTCCATGGCACAGTGATCCGAAAAAGTTCTGGCCAATATATCRACTTTTTTAATTTTTAGATTCACCGATTTCGACGCCCATGCCATATCAATTCGTGACCAAYTATTATGTCTACCCGACCAGAAGGTGTAGTCTCTGGTGGTGCCTTTACTATGTCTCCAAATATCCTCCAATTGCAGCATTTCTAATTTTTGTACAAAGCCCTTAGGTAGTAGGCTTGTCTTGTTACCATTTCTTTTTCCCTTTGTTATATTAACTGATTTGTCTAGGTTGATATCTATTACCCCGTTAAAATCCCCCAGTATTATTAGTTCATCCCAGTTTTGTTTATCTATTTCCCTTTTAAGTTCATTTATAAATTTTATTTTGGCTCCATTTGGTGAATAAATATTACACAGTAGTATTTTTTGATTCTTTATTTCTATTGTTGTGCCTACATATCTTCCCTCTGAATCCTTGAAAACTTGCTTCGGTTTTAGCCAATCTTTTTTGTAGTTTGAAGCCATTGCTCCACGTCCTAGTCTCCAGGGTAGCAGAAAACAAGCTTACTCCCTCCTCACAATGACTTCCTCTCACGTATTTATACATGGCTATCATGTCTCCACTCAGCCTTCTCTTCTTCAGGCTAAACATGCCCAGCTCGTTAAGCCACTCCTCATAGGGGTTGTTCTCCAGACCCTTGATCATTTTAGTCACCCTCCTCTGGACACATTCCAGCTTGTCAATATCTCTCTTCAATTGTGGTGCCCAGAATTGGACACAATATTCCAGGTGTGGTCTGACCAAGGCGGAATAGAGCATGGGGAGCATGACTTCCCTGGATCTAGATACTAGACTCCTATTGATGCAGGCCAAAATCCCATTGGCTTTTTTTGCCACCGCATCATATCTTGACAAAATGTAGGCCTCTAATTTCAACATGGTCTTTTTTTTCTTCTGACTTTTGACACCTTTGCTACATTAAGAAGCTAAAGCTTTCAAAACCTGCATGGTGGATATAATAATAATAATAATAATAATAATAATAATAATACTTTATTTATACCCTGCTACCATCTCCCCATGGAGCCCCCGGTGGCGCAGTAGGTTAAAGCACTGAGCTGCTGAGCTTGTTGATCGAAAGGTCGCAGGTTCGCCCTAGCTTCTGCCAACCTGTCAGCCCTAGCTTCTGCCAACCTAGCAGTTCGAAAACATGCAAATGTGAGTAGATCAATAGGTACCGCTCCGGCGGGAAGGTAACAGCGCTCCATGCAGTCATGCCGGCCACATGACCTTGGAGGTGTCTACGGACAATGCTGACTCTTCGGCTTAGAAATGGAGATGAGCACCACACCCCAGAGTCAGACATGACTGGACTTAATGTCAGGGGACTACCTACCTTTTTTACCATCTCCCCAAGGGACTTGGTGCAGCTTACATGAGGCCGAGCCCACAATACATCAATACAAGCAATAACAACAACACAAGCAATTAAAATAAATCACATACACAGATAGCATAAACATTAACAATGGCACAACACACCTTTAAAATCTGTGGCTAGATTTTTTGTCTTTTTGGTGGGTGCATTAGAAGTATCACTGTTTGGTGGATTTAGGATGGTATTTTTCCATACATAGGCTATACAACTCCCACCATGAAGGAGGCAAGGTCCAGGGTTCAGTGGGTGCTTCAGCCAATGAAGCTAAGAGGAAAGCTAATGTTTCTCCATTAGCAAATGTGATCCAATGGGCTGGGAAACCTTGTAGAATATATATTGGACACAATAGAGAACAGAAAAGGGAGGGGAAAAGAGACGAAAATCCAGACACTGGATTTAGCCCTTGGTGAGCGTACTTGTTTAGACAGCTAGTCAAAGCCTTAAATTTTGTAGCACGTATGTAGCTGGAGAAGATATCTGACGATCTTACTTCTTATTTGGGTTATTATTATACTGCGCTGTAATTGTGTTGTTATACTGGTTTTTAGTGATTTTTCTGTTAACAAAAGCCACACCTATAGATCGCCTAACGGGGAAAAATACTTTAAATATGCATGAAAAGGGTTTCGAATGGCTTTTCAGATAAGGAAAAAAAAACCTTTGGCAAAAGATTTCTATAAAACCAGTTTAGCAAAAAGTGACAGTGACATTTAACAAGCTGCCTTCCTGAAATATTTTTTGCTAGACCTTTGCTAACAAATTGTAATTTCAAGTGTTTATAGTGTAAGTAAAGGTAAAGGTTTCCCCTGACATTACGTCTAGTCAATGTCCGACTCTGGGGGCTGGTGCTCATCTCCATTTCTGAGCTGGCGTTGTCCATAGACATCTCCAAGGACATGTGGCCAGCACGACTGCATGGAGCACTGCCGAAGCAGTACCTATTGATCTACTCACATTTGCATGTTTTCGAACTGCTCAGTTGGCAGAAGCTGGGACTAACAGTGGGAGCTCACCCCGCTCTTCAGATTTGAACTACCAACCTTTTGGTCAGCAAGTTCAGCATCTCAGCAGTTGCTAACAAATTGTAATTTCAAGTGCTTATAGTGTAAGTAAAGATAAAGGTTTCCCCTGACATTAAGTCTAGTCATGTCCGACTCTGGGGGGTGGTGCTCATCTCCATTTCTGAGCTGGCATTGTCCGTAAACATCTCCAAGGAACTGTAGCCAGCGCGACAGCATGGAGCACTGTTACCTTCCTGACGAAACAATACCTATTGATCTACTCACATTTGCATGTTTTCGAACTGCTCGGTTGGCAGAAGCTGGGCCTAACAGTGGGAGCTCACCCCGCTCTTCAGATTAGAACTGCCAACCTTTTGGTCAGCAAGTTCAGCAGCTCAGCGGTTTAACCCGCTGTGCCACCAGTGGGGCCAGTGTTTAGTGTACAATCAGCCTTTTTTAGACTATTGTATTTGTTGATTGGCTCTCAAGCTGCTGCTTTTTGGGAGCTTTTAGACTTTTTTTGGTACAAGTTTTCCCCCCTGAAGTTGTTGCACCAATGAGAACAAACAAATGAATAAATTGATACTAATATACTATAACTACAACAGAAGAATATTATTTTTCCTAAGCTTCAGATGGAGGCATTGATAAGGCATTTCTGATTATTGATGTTTCAATTGTTTTTAGATTGTTTTGATATTTTCATCCTTCAGCAAGAGAACACAGCTAATTGCTTAAAAGCAACACCCAAACAAACACGCTCTCCCGTCTTGCCTGTCTGCCTTCCAGCTCCTGACCTTTGCAAGTGAAGGCGCTGGCTTCTCTACCACAACAGCTTTCTAGCAAGATAGGAAATATTGAAAGTTCCCCCTTCTTTTCCAATTCTACTGCTTTACTATGCCAATAAATCTACTAGGACTGCAATGGTGAATGATAGTAGAGGTACCAAAGAAAAACAGGTCCATATAAAACCTATTTATTTATTTATTTATTTCCGAGTTTTATATACCGACCTTCTCACCTCTTTTGAGGGACTCAGACCAGTTTCCAACCATAAAAACACATACAATCGGTAAAAACATCATAGTTCATATTACAATAACACATTAAAACAACAAATATATCCAAAACTACAGTGGTCAGTCGTCATACTAAAAAACAATTATACATCATCTTCCAACCATGTCTTAGGGTGTTGTTTCACTCATCAAAAGCCTGTCTCCATAACCTCGTCTTCACCTGTTTCCTAAAAGTCAGCACAGAAGGGGCGGCTCTGATCTCCGGTGGGAGAGAGTTCCAGAGTCACGGGGCCACCACCGAGAAGGCCCTGTCCCTTGTCCCCACCAGACGTGCTTGTGAGGCCGGTGGGACCGAGAGCAGGGCCACTCCAGACGATCTTAATAATCTTGATGGTTCATAGGGAAGAATACATTCGGAGAGGTAAACAGGGCGGGAGTCGTTTAGGGCTTTAAAGGTTAACACCAGCACTTTGAATTGTGCTTGGAAGCTAATTGGCAGCCAGTGGAGTTGGTGTAACAGCGGAGTGGTGTGCTCCCTGTACCCAGCACCTGTTAGTAGTCTGGCTGCCGAGCGTTGGACTAGCTGCAGCTTCTGGGCAGTCTTCAGAGGCAACGCCACGTAGAGAGCGTTGCAGTAATCTAAACGGGATGTAACCAAAGCGTGGACCACCGTGGCCAAGTCAGACTTCCCAAGATACGGGCTCACTACACCAGATCCAAAGGTAAATCAACAGTTATGTAAATTCCACTGATTCGGTGGATATAATACTAGAATTAGGCCTATTATAGCACTGACCGAATTCAGAATAACCATTGCAACAAACAACATAAACATATTAAAGGCACATAAAGCATGGTGCAGTGCAGGGGTCCTCAAACTAAGGCCCGGGGGCCGAATATGGCCCTCCAAGGTTATTTACCTGGCCCTCACTCAGCCTTAATCAATGAATGCAGCAACTGTTAAAGACAAAAATAATACATATTTTAAAAACTGCTTAAGGAAAGTCGTGTTAAAAGCCATTTTGAAATATCATGAAACCGCCTTGAGTTCCTCCGAGGAGAGAGGGCAGGGTATAAATAAAGTATTATTATTATTATTATTATTATTATTATTATTATGAAAATCTTACTTACCAAATCTATATTCTGCATGATATCCTGGAAAGATGGATGAGTTCGAAATTGCTCAAAGAGATCACGCTTATAAAGCAATGCATAAACTAGATTTGGGTTATGGTGTAGAGAGTTTGTCAAGCATGAGTTGATTATCTCTAACATCATTCGAATGACTTCTTCAATCACATTCAGATCTTGCGCCTATAAGAAACACACAGAAGATATGCATGTTAGACAGAATATGGCTAATACTTTCAGCCAGGCACTATTTCTATTGTAAATTGTGTTGCAAATTATAATTAAGGGGGTACATTGATTTTTAATTTTACATATAAAATAAATACTGATATTGTTCAGCAAACCACATAATGTTGATGGAAGTTAAGACAGGTTGAACATTTATTTATTTACAGCATTTTTATCCCGCTTTTCTCAGCCCGAAGGTGACTCAGGGAGGCGTACAGATTGGCAACAATTTGATGCCACAACATACATACTTACATCTATATAAATAAAAATGTAATGTTCGTTTGTGGAATTAACATAACTCAAAAACCACTGGGCGAATTGACACCAAATTTGGACACAATACACCTATCAGGCCAACGAGTGACCACCATTCATAAAAACACTGAAAAACACAGCTGAAGAGACTTAAAAAGCAAAAAAGAAACCCCCATTAAAACGCATGCACAAAAACACATATATACACAAACCCACATATATACACATATACACAAATATATAGACACACATATATGCATATATGCACACACAAAACACATATACACAGACTGGGCCACAGCAACATGTGGCAGGGGACAGCTAGTATCAATTAAAAACATTTGATATCACATAATAAAAAATCCATATAAAACCATTAAAACTATAATCATCAATGTCTTCCAGTTCAACTCCTTATCCATTTACATCGTTCAAGCCATTACATGTTCATTATTTCATTGCACTATGTTTATCTGTTATGCTGCGTTTCTCAAAGCTTGTTCGAAGAGCTAGGTTTTTACTCTTTTCTGAAAGGTCAGGAGGGAGGGGGCCGATCTAATATACCTAGGAAGGGAGTTCCACAGCCGAGGTGCCAACACTGAGAAGGCCCTGTCTCTCGTCCCCACGAAATGTGCCTGCGAGGAAGGCGGGATCGAGAGCAGGGCCTCCCCAGACGATCTTAAGTTCCTAGATGGTTCATAAGGAGATACGCTTGGACAGGTAAGTTGGGCCAGAGCCGTTTAGGGTTTTATAGGCTAAAGCCAGTACTCTTAATTGTGTCCGGTAGCAAACTGGCAGCCTATGGAACTGGCACAACAGAGGAGTTGCATGTTCCCTGAGTGCTGCTCCTGTTAGCATCCTGGCTGCTGCCCGCTGGACTATTTGAAGCTTCCGAACAGTCTTCAAAGAAAACCCCACATATAGAGTATTGCAGTAGTCTATATGGGATGTAACCAGGGGCGGCTCAACCCATTACGCAAAGTATTTGCAGTATAGTTGATTTTGCCCAGGGGCGCTCTTGGGGGGAAATAGACCTTGACATATGAGAGTTGTAGTTACTGGGATGTATAGTTCACCTACAATCAAAGAGCATTCTGAACTCCACCAATGATGGAATTGAACCAAATATGGCACACAGAACTCCCACGATGAACAGAAAATATATATCAGTGATTGGTTGGAGGAGGGGGGGATACTGTTTGCTTACCGTTGAAAATTACCTAGGGCCGCCTCTGGATGTACCCAGAGCATGGATTACCATGGCCAAGTCAGACTTCCCAAGGCGCAGCTGGCGTACAAGCTTTAACTGTGCAAATGCTCCCCTGGTCACCACCGAAATCTGGGGTTCCAGGCTCAGCAATGAGTCCAGGATCACACCCAAGCTATGAACCTGTGTCTTCAGGGGGAGTGTAACCCCTGCCAACACAGGCTGTAACCCTATGCCCTGTTCAGCCTTTCAGACTTTATTCAAAATGCTTGGGACCAAAAGTGTTTCGGATTTTGGGTTGTCTTTAGATTCTGGAATGCCTGTTGTAGCCTACAAGTACATAAGGTATGTTGGGGATGGGAAACTAAGTCTCAACCCAAAATCCATTTATGTTTCATATACACCTTATACACATATGCTTGTGCATGAAACAAAGTTTGTGCACAGTGAACCATCAGAAATCAAAGCTTTTGTTCTGCCCTAGGTCTATGGTCATTCCTCCACAGCCAAGTCAAGATCTTATCACCGTACATGTGATTTTAAAGGCAGCAAAGTTGCCTTAGGCAAAAGACAGGGCAGCTGGAAAACAAGCTACCTTTTAGTGTCTTCTGGGCAGGGTCATATCATTATTTAGATGTAGTGGAGATCCTCACTATTTCAGCCAGTGATAGCTTAAGAAAAACAGGTCTTTCACCAATATCTGAAACAAGTCTTGAATTTTCAAAGAAGTCAGTTAAAACATGCAAATGGGTGTCTGAAGGTCGCAGGTTTGAATCTGGAGAAAGTGCAGATGAGCTCCCTCTGTCAGCTCCAGCTCCTCATTCGAGGACATGAGAGAAGCCTCCCACAAGGATGATAAAACATCAAAAGCATCCAGGCGTCCTCTGGGCAACGTCCTTGCAGACGGCCAATTCTCTCACACCAGAAGCGACTTGCAGTTTCTCAAGTCACTTCTGACGCGGAAAAAAAAAACATACACCATTCAAGTGGCAGTTCAACAGCTATGGTATTTGTCTGTCTACCAGACAGTAATATTTTCTGATCCATATCCTCAGCAGACAATACAGTTCTCCCACATTTCACAATTCCAGTTTAAAAACAAAAATTAATAGCACATTCTATTTTTGCCACACATAAATATAGAGTTTCTTCACAAAAAGTCTTGTTTTTAATAGATGAGTTTTAATGTTTTAATTATAACTTGGTTAATGTTATTTTTGTCTTATTGTAGTGGTTTGGAGTGCTATTTTTAGCAAATAGTTTATTTGAATATATTCAGTTTTGCTTGGAGATGCATAATTTACAGGTATTCTTAGCAGAAATATCTCCCTTCCTTGGCACTTTGGCAACTTTGGCTAAGCACAGGGGTCCTGCAGACAACTAGAATAAAACAGCAGAAATACAGCAGGTAGAATATGATCCAGCTTAGAGTCAATAATATGGACGCGGAGAGGAGAGAGAGAGGCATAAAAGTCAAAATTCAGTCTACTAACTAGTTACTGAAGTTTGTCCACTACAGGTCAACATCTTGATCATGATCAAGAGCAAATTCCTGATCAAGAGCAAATATGAGTATTGAGAGACTGAGATTCAACTTCAATGGGGGGGATTGGATTTTGGAACTACTTCTCCTCCTGGCCTGCAATGATATTTCCAGAGCCCTTATTTCTCTATCATTAGACTGCTAACTCTGGGTTTGGTTGAACTGGAATGAAAGAGGACATATCATGTAAGGTCCTGTTATAAAAGTTAGTAAAGGTTATGGATTTTCATGATACAAATGTCTCTCATCCCTGGAGTTAACTTTTTGTGTTGTTATTTGCTGTCAAGCTGACGTCAACGTATAGTGACCCTTTCAAAGAAACACCTCCTTTAACAGCCCTGCTTAAGTCTTGCAGACTCAAGGCCTTGGCTTCCTTGATTGAGTCTATTTATCTGTAATGTGGTCTTCCTCTTTTCCTACTGACTTCTACCATACCAAGTGCTATCATCTTAGCATCATAGACTTATGAGTTGGAAGAGACCTTGTGGGTCATCCAGTCCAACCCCCTGCCAAGAAGCAGGAAAATCACATTCAAAGCACCCTCTACGGATAACCATCCAGCCTCTGCTTAAAAGCCTCCAAAGAAGGAGCCTCCACCACACTCCAGGGCAGAGAGTTCCATTGCTGAACTTCTCTCACAGTTAGGAAGTTCTTCCTAATGTTCAGGTGGAATCTCCTTTCCTGTAGTTTGAAGCCATTGTTCTGCATCCTAGTCTCCAGGGCAGCAGAAAACAAGCTTGTTTCCTCCTCCCCATGACTTCCCCTCACATATTTATACGTGGACATCATGTCTCCTCTCAGCTGTCTCTTCTTCAGGCTAAACTGTGTAAACTGCTTTGAGCCCCTCCAAGTGTTGAGAAAAGCGGTATATAAAATACAGTAAATACATAAATAAACATGCCCAGCTCTTTAAACCATTCCTCATAGCTTCTCTAGAGAGAAGACATGGTTTCTCTACGGAGCTATGTCTTCTCATGATATGACCAAAGTATCACAGTCTCAGTTTATTATCTTAGATTCTAGGGAGAATTCAGGCTTGATTTGCTCTGGGATGTAATTATTTGTCTTCTCAGCAGTCCATGGTGTCCATAGAACTCTCTTCCAGAATCACATTTCAAATGAGGTTGCACCTACAATGCATCAATGCAGCTTGAGTCCATGTGCTGGCACGGTTGTGCCAGGAGATTTGATTCTTTTTCTTGCACTGTTAGTTTTTTTGAATTCATTTGGGCCATGCATTTTGCAATTGGGTAGTTTCCCCAGGTTGCAGTCAAAGGGCCAACAACCTATCGATCATCGTTAGAGCCTTTAGATCCACCCCTTTCCCCAGGTTTGGAGGGAAAAGGGGACTTTTAGTTCAGTCTCACAGTTTGGAGCCTTACAGCAGGGCGTGTGGGCTTTCTCTGTCACACCTGTAAAAAGCTTCACTTCTTAAAGTTTTTGCTGGGGGGAAAGGAAAACCTCTACAGCTTTGCTAGGGGGTAAAGTTACAGTTCCACAGCTTTACTGGGGGAATACAGCCAGCTTTGCTGGAAAATAAAGGAATGGTTCCACGGCCTTGGTGGGGCAAATCTACAAGACACCAGCTTGGCAGATCTAAAGCAACCATTGCCTGGTAAGGGACCACTCGGGCTATCCATAACGCAGCTTGGAGCTGGGAGTTGGGGCCTCACGCCAGCAGGGTAAAGAAAGATTGCCCAAGGAGGGGTCAGAAGGTTTCCCTAAAGAGGAAAGGAACAGTTTATCAAGCAGCTGCCTGTCCCTTGTCAGCTGATCGAGAAAGCTACCAGTTTTTCAAGATTATATAGCATTTAATTGTTTGAAGATTTAAGCCTTAATAAAGAACCTATTTTGAGCCTCTACAGAACTTTGTGTTGGGAAACCTATGGGACCCTTTAGCTGAGGCACCCTGGCGTCCCGCTGGGCATACAGAAAGCATGTCCTGTA